CGACATACGTCCCAATATGTGATGAAATTTGCATAAGAGGAATGTATTATGATCTGAGGGCACGTTTATTCGGATGCTGAAATTGCGCAGTGGCCAGTCCCGTGGAGTGTCAGTAGAGGCGTAGCACAACCTCTATCCCAATAGTAGACTTTTTTGCACTCCGAAAAATGCATGACCAACAACCCTGGAGAAACTGTGCGACGTTTCCGCTGTGGGTGGATATAAAGGGCAGGTCAGAATGGAGCACGATTAGGAATGTTTGGGTAAAACGTCCAAGAAGCCATAAACGCAAATCTTAAAACTCACAACAAACACCTGATTTAAGCTGAGCCAAAGAATGTGCAGTTATTATTCTTGTTAAGGAGCGAATTAATGCTTACCTAATACATATTTGCGACTTTTGAATGAGGAGCAACTTTATACCTGCTGCAGTCTGATTAGCATTTGCCAGATACAATTTCATAGATGATGGCAAACCTGAATCTCAGCAAGTTCAAAGAATCTCAAGCGGAACGAGGCGACACATGTGCCAAATCCAGTCCCGGCACCAACACTAAACTCATTTTAGTCCACGAATGTCAAAATTCCGCTTAAAATAAACTCAAGAAATGGAAACTTGTGAAAAATTTACCTATTTTTATTACACCTCACATTTGGTATGTAATGCAACAAACTTCTCATAGTAAACTTTATTTTTGCGTTCTTAAGCAATTTGTAAAAACGAACAAAGTACTCAATACTTAAAACAGAAATATTTCCCTAATGGGATCTACTTAGGTGTTACAAAAGAGTTACTGTTTTTTGGCAGAGTTTAAAAGGGCAAAAAGGGGAATACTTAGCATCTATTAATTTTTTAACCCATGATCTACTGAACGCATGCAAAAATATATAAACAAAGAAATATAGCACCCAATTTCAGAATCGCATATTAGTTACACTTTTGCCTTGTTATTTTTTCTTAGCAAAAAGCCTAAGGAACCTTTTGTACCACCAATTAAATGGCTGTGTAAAACACCTTAAATTTTGTGGGCGCGTCAGCAGTGAAATGACGTCTACAAATAGGGGTTATTTTCTTTTTTGTATGCCTGATTCGAACTCTTTTTCTGCATGTATTCTCTTCGGATTGGCAAATTTCTAGGTCTTGGATCAAAGTTTGCTTACATTGATTTCCTTGTGGCGGGATATATCTTCTCCTGTGACCAGTTTTGGTGTTCGCCTATGGGTGAGGCCTTATTTTGCCTTATTTAGATGCTAAAATATCGTTTCTCTATTTGTGGGTCTACATGCGATTCATTTGGACTGCTTTGTTGCTCTCAACTACGAATCCGAGGTTTGAATTTGCATCCCGATGCCATTTCCCTCCTTGAATGTGCCGATTGAGCTGCAAGTCGTGTATGGCTTTTTCTGTTCCCATAATTTACACCATCCTCGATCTTGATTTATAGGTCTTCTTAGTTTTTAATATGATGGGACTGTTGTTCAAAGTGGGGGTCGTTAAGCTGGTGTTTGTTTCTTGAACATCATCATATTTCCTTGATGTGCTCTTTTCTTAATCTATGCCAGCTTTGATCTTTACTCTGGTTTCCAATGTCCGAATATGTTTGCCAGCTTGGTCCTCCACGTAGATATGTCAGTTTTTTATGAACCTGCTATTCTTAAGTTACTATCTGCTTTACCCATCTTGCTTACCTCTTTAGTGCTAAACCGCGGTGCAGTTTATCTTAATTTACTTGTGTTAATGCTTTGAGGCATTAATCCTTGTATATTAAGCATTTCAATGGACTCGTTTAATTCTAATGCATGGCACTTTTATCAAGTGCTGTTGTTCATCATAATGGTCTTTTCCATCACCTTGAGGACCTCCAGATTTTTTTCGCCTAGTCAGAGGGAGGTAGTCCATGAATAGGCTCCTCGACTGACCCACTGAAGGATTGCAACTGATGGGCGGTAGCCAGCTAAACTCACATTTTATGACTTGCCTTTTAACTTACTTTTTTGGATGCTAAATATCGATTCGCTGAAATCTGGCCAACCTTATGTGACTTGTATCCTTTTTGGCCTCGAGTTCATTATGACCATCTCCACATCTGAATGCGTTTTGTTGATATGTCGCATATAAATGGCTGGTTGGTGTGCACTTGACGCTGAGTGAAATAAGTGGATCACATCCGTCGGATTGCTTTGTGTACCTCCTCCACTCCTGTCAGGCCTCGATAATGTGTTTTGTGATTTTTTTGGCCCATATAAATTGGGCTACCAGCATAGGATTGGGACGCTCGTGCCATCTTATTTTGGCATAGTTGCTAAGGCTTTTTTATGAGACTCAGTTATATGAATAATCATGAGGCGGTATATTAGATTAATAGAATACGGAGTGTGTTCACTGGGAGTTGTTTGAAAAAGGCACTTTAAAAATAGAAATAGATTCCATACCCTTTCATTCGCAAGCAAATGTGGACACTTGCGAAGAATGGTTTGGGCACTTGTGTTGGCAAATTTGCTGCGTCAACAAATAGTCTCCTCCTCAGCGATGCTTCCACCGTCAAGGCTGCACACCTGGACACCTCTAGGGTTGACCATGGCCTACAGTCTCTCAAATAGCTGCCTTAGTTGGATAGTAGTCCTACGTGATGCGAGGCGACGAAGTGCAGATGTCCCCGATTTCTCGTTGAACAGAATGTCAGTGTCCGACACATGCGTTATGGGATTTGGGATTTTGCAAACTAACAAGCGACATTTTTTGTAAGATGCTTGTACTCCTTTCGTATTCCTAACAGTTTATGAAGTCCGATTTATGGTTTATAGTGGTGAAGTAGAATAAAGTTTCACGATTATAACTGGATGAGGAATGGCATAGAAGTTATTGGTTCGAGAGTGACCAAATAAGTGTTTTTCAAACCATTTCTATATTGTGAAGCAGTTAGTCATTTTATAGATGTTAACGAAATAAGCGAACTCCAATGTTGCGGTGGAGTGATGGAGGTAGTTCAGGAGTGCAGAAAGTGGGGGTTTTTGAGCAATGCGTGATTGGAGCTTGTGCTGTTTCAACAGTGCCAAGAGAGGGAGTGGAGATGTTTTTGCACTCAAGAAGGTGTGTTTGGGAAGTCGTGGTCGCGTCCATCGAATCGCCACACCCGTGAATTGGGAACTTGGATGTGACTGGGATGGGTGTCAGGAAGGGTTGCATTCCTCATGCTGTAGCTGTTTGATTTGGCGGCAATGCTCCTGCTGTTGCAGGGCAGGCTTGTCGGGGGAGGATCGGTCTGCTTGTTGATGACGAAGTCGACGTTGGTGCGATGTGGTGCGTAGCCACCATGGAGGAGGAAGGATGCACTACCCGGTGGTGGCTGTTGAGCGAAGAAGGATTTTGATCCGTTGTAGCCACGCCATTGCATAGAGCGGGGGACGGTGGTGATGGGGACGGATGGTGTTTTTGATTCCACGTGAAGCGGGGGGACGTTGTAGTGCAGACGTCCGGGTGATGCGTAGTCGTCGGCGAAGGCGACAAAAGGTTGCAGTCCGTTGGGGTTGCGGTAAGTCCATTCAGCCACTTTACCGGTCGCTGCTTGTGTCCTCATTTTCCTCTGTCAACCGAATTTGGTGTGACCACACCGTATTATTGATTGACAGTTTGGATGGGTCAGGTGTCGAGAGCGTTGAAACCCTCTTTTGTGGCATCTTGTGTAAGTGCTCGGCAAGATGTCGTTCGCGAAATGAAGTAGATTGTGTGAAAGCACTTGCTTTTTATAGAGTAGGACGTGCTCAATATGGTGGTGGATGTGGGTTTTTGAAGGACTTCACTCTGAGGATCGCGTGTTAGACAATTTGGGACGAATTTGCCACAGCAACCACCGCATGGAGGGAAGTGCACCACCAGTTGAATTGTTCAGGCGTGAATAGAGGAACGAGGAGCAAAGAAACGTGCGAAGGTGCCTCATTTGGTGAGAACTAGCATTGGACCACTCTTTGTTTTTTAACATAATGTAAGGCATTGAAGGATTGCGGTCGTAGCCCTGCTCACATTTTTGTGCAATGTTTGGTATTATTTGTTTTAATAGTGATAAAGTGTGTTCCGAAGTGGTACTGGGAGTCTGTGGAATGGGTGTTAGGAATAAGGCTGCATTGTAGTGGGCAGTTGAATGTTTTTGTGTGTAGTTGACTGTGCGGACATTGCAGTCCTCCCAGATGGCCGAAAGTCATGGTCACAGGGTTTGCAGGTGTTCCGTAGTACAATGGTAGACTGACCTTCGAAGATGACGCTTCGCATTACGACTGCAAGAGCGTCCCTGAGTGCTCATTGTTGGTGGTGGTGGCGGTGGTGGTGGGGGTAGGCGAGTCCAATCGGGGAGAAAGAAGGCGACAGATCCTGTGATTCGGATACCAGCCAGCCACTGCATATGGCTGAGTGTGCGGTGACTCATCGGCGAAGAGGTAAGACGGCGTTCCACCTCGGCTCCTTAAATTGACAACTGGTGAGGTGAGATGAGGCTTTAACGAGTGGATGTTGATTCTAGGTAAGCGTTTGCCGTCTGACTCGGGCCACAGAAATTTGCATAACAGTCGGAGAAGACGATGTCTATTTCCCTCCCCCTGCTTGTAGGCATCCTTCCTGCCACCAGGAGAGTGATGGGCGTGGTGTTTACGTGCACTGCAGAACGCCGCGCAGCCTTTGGTACGGTGTCCGGTGTGAATGCATGCCGAACGAGTTCTCTTTGCAGTGGAGTGGACATTGGCGACTGTCCACCTGATCTGCGCCACGTAGAGTGACTAGTTGGTGACGTTCCTCTTTGGAGGCCAATTGATTGCGCCGTCTTCGGTCGTGCTGCGTGGTTCCTTGCAATTAGGATGAGCCACCACGAAGGAAGGAGAGGAGTGGACCATGGAGATGCAGGAGGTGAGGCGTAGACGAGCTAAGGTGCATGTGGGCGAGCAAGTACACAAGTGGCCTCTGCAGCCCTCACATCTTGGCCCCTCTGTTCCCCTTTCGTGCAAACGGTAAGCCATCTTGCCCCTCCCTCCCCCATAGGTGTGTCACTCTGACTGCCTGTTATACGCTGTGTTTTGGTTGTGCGGGTGCTTAAGAGACTCCGCGATTGTACTTTCGGCGGTTGGTGGTGTGGCCTCCTTCTGTGCCTGGGCAATGCATCTTCCGCCCAGTGTTTTGTCCCCTTTGCTCTTTGGGGAACTTCTGGAGTGCTATATTTTGCGATCGGAAATGTGTTATTGAATTGCGAAACGCATGTGAGTTGTCTGTTAGGAGGTCATTGTTGATGTCAGTGCTGTGTCGCGGGATTTGTTTCTGTATCCCATGGTCGCGTCTGTTATATTTGGGGGTTGTTGACTGGTGCTCATTCCGATGTTTCGCAGAGCTGCTTCACTTGCCTTGCTTTTTTACCAAGGTATTCTTATACCTTGTGACGGGGAAGAAGAAGAAGAAGAAGCTTGTGTTTGAATGGAACACAATCCTTACAGGTGACTTTCAAGCAAATGGTGATGAGGTGTGAGAATGCTGATGTGTAAAACGGCGTTTGTGCCTTCTCTGCGGTGACTTCTTTTGCGGTGTCACCATTTCCTCCTTCAAATGTAGGCTTATCTACTCCATGGCATGGTTGGCGTCCTTCGCAACGTCCACTCGTCTGTGGTGGCATAAAGTCGTCGAATGTACGCCATTGTGACTTGGTGTTGGCATGTCCTCCCTGTGGATGGCGCCTTTGCTTTGCGAATAATTGAAGCAGCGTTTTATTCACATGAAGTGCTGGCTGCAAGTCGGTCTGTGACCAGCAAACAGTTCCACATTCATTGCGTGCTTTAGCCTAGGAAGTGGGTGCGATTTGAAGTAGTTGAAGCAAACACTTGGCATTGCAATTTGGCAGCAAAGGCGTGGATGGGTCATGCTGCTTATCAAGGAGACAAGGCTGTCATTGATCGTTCAAGTGTGAGCTCGTGGTGGGATTCGTTGAACTGGTGGAAGTGCGACGGGCGTGTACATCGCACCCCTTGTGCGCATTTCAAACCCAGTTCGCTGGACGGACCATGTGCGCTTCCCGTCAATGGCATGGCATCACCTTTCAGCATTGTCAAGGTTTGGCGGAGTCTGGCACAAAACAAAGTCCTTACTCCACATCAAGTATCCAAGGTGGTGTGGCTGGATTCTTGTCTACTCTGTGAGAGGGCGATTGCACTGGTGGTGGTGTGGCATCACGCCTTGAGGTGAAGTTCATGTGCACGTTGCAAATTATGGCCACTTGATGGCGTGTTTTGAGGCGACGGTCTTCGGAGATTTGCCCGAGGCAAAAATATGGTGTAGACTAATTAGGACGAGTGGTTCTTACCCTCCTGCCTGCAAAGCCTACTTTATTCGGCCAAACGGGCATTGACTGACAGCAAACCTCGTACCTGAAATATGAAGAATTGCGTCATCAAGGATGTTCCTCGGTGACTTACACAGTATGCATGAAAATTGGTGACGCGAAGTGTCCGACAATTCCATCGTCGCCTTTTTGTGCATAAACTGTGTGTATTTCGCCTCTGTGGGGTGATTGGGTGTTCTGTCAATCTTTTTGCCATTCATACACGAGGGAGTGGTGTTTTTCTCCTAGAGGGTAGTTTTAAATCGGCTCGGTTGATACCAATGCGAGGGTGGGAGGTGGGGGCGGGAGGAGCGATTGGACGCCGCGTTGTTGTTAATGTGGCTTTGGCAACTTTGCATTTGGAAAGGGTATAGTTTGTAACAAGGAGAATGTTTGGGATTTTGGACTAAAGATTATCTTTAGACAATTGTCAAGATCCACAAGGGTAAAAAGTGTAGCCTGTGGAGATGAAGGAAGGAGGCATTTGGTGGACAGACGCAGAAATGAGTCTGTTGGTTGTGCCAGCACTGCGTAGCCCCTGCGGCATTCGAGTGGACCTGGTCTCTCTCATCCCTTTGAGGGGGGTTAACTGGCTATGCGCTAATGCATGCATCAATGGAGGCAAAACGCAATTCAGTCTTTCCAACAGGCAAAGTAGGAGGGTGTGACTGGTCTTCCTGTCGAATGATCTTGACTGCAAGTCGGCCTGTGACCGGCAAACAGTTCCACGTCCATTGTGTGCTTCAGTTCGGTTAGTGAGTGAGGTTTGAAGCAGTTGAAGCAAACTCGTGGATGGCTCAAGCTGTTTTTCAAGGAGGTGGGGTTGTCATTGCTTGTTCAAGTCCGAATCCATGCTGGAATTCGTTGAAGTGTTGAAATGCGGGTGGCGTATTCATCGCACCCCTTGTGCTCATTTCACGCCCAGTCCGCTGGACAGACCATGCATCATGCAGTATCTTGAACAGACCTTAGCGACCGTGGCGTCAAGTTTCGACGCTTTATGAAACAGTGTGTGACCTTGGAAATTTGAAGGACTCGCCTGGCACTTGGCCCTGCGCAAGGCAGTGGACATGTGGAAGGAAGGAATCTTGCGCTGATTGGACTTTTGAGGACTGGAACAGTGCCTACTTGCGTAGATATCTACAGTTCATACGTCAACCGGCATTTCACTGTGCCAGGTGTTCACGGGTGGTGAGACGAGGGCACCCTCCAAACGCCCGACCCTCAACTTATTGCGTTTCTGAGTACGTTTTGCGACTCAAAGAAGCTATGAGGCGAACAATCAACATCGGGTGAGAATAGTTTTGGCTGTCTTGTCTGCGGGGGAGGCGATACACTGACGATCACGCAGTCAACTCGACGTCTACTGAGAAGGAGTCCCGGTGCAACCGTACAGGCCTGTTGCGCCACCTGGAGTGTGTAGCATGTTCCATCATTCGTGGAGCAGAGACGCATTCTCAGTGATGAAAGTCATCACGCCAATGCACTGCACAAGTCTGTGCTCAGTGAATAGCCTTTCTTCACAACAGGATGCGCCCGTACAAAGTTGCAACTGCCATGGGATGCGGAGATGAGGTTTGCGTAGTAGGGGAAGGAGGAAGGGCAGTGGGAACGCACTAGACGCTTACTACTCACAAGTGGAGCTGCGAGGGTGGTGCTGAAAAGGACGAGGAGGCTGTTTAATGCTCGCTGGTTGAAATGTACCCCTTGACGGCGACAGGCGGATAGAGGGTGCGTACCTCGTGGTAGATCGGACTGTATCGGCTCGCGAAGAGGAAACACTGGCCGAGCACGCTTAACTGGCGATGTCTGTTCTCCTCCTACAATCGTTGCTCAGTAAAGCGCATCCTCATTTGACTCGTCGCCTCGTTGTAAGGGCGTGAAGGTCAAGGGGTTGGAGGTGAACGCTGTGCCCACTACACACGCGTAGAGGTGGACGCAGTCTACTCCTCTTGAAAGGGAGCTGCCAAGTTATGCGCCAATGCATGCATTAATGGCGAAGGTATGGCTGAGCACATTTTACTGTAGGGATGGTGATTGCCTTGTCAGGTGGATTTTGCATCAACCAGGAGGTGAATTTGATGTATTTTTGCGCGATATACCCACTTCAATGGAGAAAAAGCCAGAAGGAGTGTGCACACGAGGCAATGCGTTATTTGCCAGCAAGTGTGCTGGTATGACCTTTGAGCGAATGAGGCCATCAAAAGCACTTATTTAACTAATTAGCAAGTAAGAACTAACTGTTGAAACATGTTGACTGTAATGCTTAAATCCCGTGGGACAGCCCAACATTGAGGTGTTTTGCATTCCCTATTTTAGGCAAGTAACTTGGGCAGCTTACAGAGGCGATTGAGGTACTCGTTAGCCGTAAATAATGAACATCAGGGAGTATCCGGAGGAACGTGTTAGACCAGTTCACTGGGGAAACTAATTATTTTGCGTGTAAAAGCAATGCAAATTGCCGTGGAAGGAAAGGCACGACTGGTGCACAGGGGAGTTGAGAGGCTACCAATGTAGTCTGCGGGTTGTGCAACAGAGTAGAAGTAGATATTGTGAAGGTTGAAGTGCCTGTGTCGAGCAAAAGAGCGTAATCGTTAAACATGAATGCACTGCAGCGAGAGGATGGCGGAGCTAGTGATATAGCTCGAATGCAGCAACCTGGAGAAGACCGCATAAAGCACACTCCACACATGGGTCAGAACTGCCAATGTGCTAAAATGATGCATAAAGGAAATAAATTAGGCACAACACGTGCACGTGATTGTGATGAGAACTTCACGAATGTATTACTTGTTGCATAGATCAAATATTTTGTCAACAAGGAAAAAACTTTCGATCATCAAATATTAGGTTGCATACGTATAAACATACTCAAAGATCATAAGATGTTGGCGACCAGTAATATTCACTCAGCTTGTTTTATTCCTTTGATGCAGACAAATTTGTCTGGGTCATCATACAGCCCGGGTTTTCATTGCAGGACCGTGAGATGGGAGTAAGACAACTTGCTTTGTGACTTAAGAATTGTCTTGTCTGTATTGACTTTCTTAATTTGATAACGTGTGGACGCGAATTGTTTGCAGTAAACTGTCACTGGAATGAATTTTGATGGCAGCACAGTGGTTGAAATTGCCTGAGTGACAAGTTCCTTTTCCCTCAAGTAGCTATTCGTAAACGCTAAACAACACAAATAAGTACGAAGTTGTCATAATAACATGGATAGTACTTTGACAAGCATGCAGTGGCCGTTGAGGTTATTTAAGTGCCTCAGCTCAGGTTTTACTTCTATCATTTTAGAAAGGTGAAAAGAGGAATGCGGTGGTAAGTTTAGTTGTGTAACCCATAGGTCACTTTGGTTAGTTAGTCTGTTTTGTTCCTAATGCTTTGACAATGTTTTTTAGAAAAGATTGTTGTAAGTTTTCCACTTACTACCGCAACTCTTACTATCTATGCACGGCGTACTTTTCACTAAGTGACTTAATAAAATATTTTTCATATTTTAGTAGACACAGGTCTAACAAAGGCAAAAAGGGTAATTGGATTTTTTTGTTGTTTTTTTTCACACAAAGTTTCCATGTCAAAAGTACAATTTGCATTCAGGAAAGGAACCAGAAATCACGATTCTGGACGGGAAAGTATGCCCTTCTTAATGCTTGTTATTTGTTGATTGTAGGTCTGCATCCTGTGTTGTAATTTTGGTAGTGTTTTAAATAAGTTGATCGGACGTTTATTTTGGGGCAGATAGAAGTACACTTGCCCTTGTCTTTGACTGATTCTTCCCACGTCAGATAGAAACCACTGATTATTTCTCAAAGCGTCGCACTTCTACTTAGTTGATTTGGTACTGTGGAGATTTAGCCGTGTTGAGTCAATTATTTGCCTTTTGTACGTGTATTTGTAGTATGTCCTACTGTGAGAAAGTGTTAAATTATGTAATAATTTGTGTTTCTGAGTTAGTCTGTCCCCTTTGGCTTCAGAACGTGTCTCCTGGTGTAGATGAAGAGAGTTCGGAACGTGGGGAAGAGTATGCTAAAATATTTTGATAATGTTGCCAACTCTGAGAGTGATGTTTGTTTTCGACTGCTAGTGTTGCTTTACATGTTCTATGCTCGGAAAGTTCTCCCGTGTTTACTTATCGTCTATTGAATTTTTACATATTCTTACCATAAATGTCTGTGAACAATTCACTGATTATTTCAACTTTTTGAATAGTGAATGTACTCAATAAAAATTGGAGTTTGTTTTACTGATTAACTTAGTAATATACGTTCCTTAGAACCAACATTTTTTCTACTTTGAAATGTTGATAACATTTGAATTCTCTAATACTTAGCTGAAACTAACCTGGTTTTTTTTAGAGGAATGACCTCAGAAGAGTCCAAGTACCAATCTGTAATTAGTTAGATTATTTTGCTTATACCAGGTGGCTTCACCAGAGAGCTTAAATTGATGACCACTTTAGTGGGAATGTAAGAAAATCTCTTCATTGTATTTGGAGGTATGCTGTTTTTCTAAAGTTTGAGCAGCAATAGCTTAATTGGAATGACATAAAATCACCAGAATTTCTGAAATATCCGCCACTGTGTTTTCGGAAACTAACATTAGTGTGCGGTTAGATGTGTAGCTGTAGCTGAAAAAGAATCGTCATCCTTCGCATTTCATTCTTACCAGAAAAGCTTAGTTCGTTTTTGGCACTGCTTTCTGTAATGACCTGGTGCAACTAGTAGGAATGTGTAAAGTGTGACTCTACAGGCTGCATTACATAAGGCAGACAAGCGTCTACCTATTGATGTGGTACTTGTGGCTTGTGCTGCCTACTTTTTTTCCTTTTTACGAACCCCGAAATGCAGAATTTCGGTTGAGCTGGATGTGATGCCATTTGGCTTGTTTAGCTAATTGAGATG